TATGTTTGTTGCTCCTAGTCCATCTGTCTATCTCGTCTTTCTATTCTTTCCAATCCACTTCTCTCCTCTCTCCTCACCTTGCCTCACTTCTCTTCTCTCCTTACCTCACCTCTCTTCTTTTTCTACTCTTCCATATCCTTCTCCTCTCCTCTCTTCTCCCTCTCCACTCCTCTCCTCACTTTTCCTCTCTCTTCCCTCGCCTCCCCTTCCTTCCTCCTCTGCCTCTACCCTTTTCCTTCCTCCCTTCCCTTCCTTTCTTTTATGCGGAAGCGTGCATATTTTTTGTTTATTTTTTCGTTATCCTTTCACTTCCAGCCATGCGAGCCTGGAGCAAGTTTTACTGGTAGCTTTAATTCATCTTCTGCTTGCGGAAAAGTTTTTGACAAATCGACCTGCTTCCTTTTTTTCTTCCTGTTTTTTCTTTTTCTTTCTTTCTTTATTTTTTGTTGTAGAAGTGGCAAAAATGGGCATGCGAATCCCCTTATTAGAAATATTGCTAATGGCTTTTATTAACTTTAGTGATTGACTTCCGTTTTTGGGTGAGTTTTTCCTTCGAATACTTTGGCGAGGAAGAAACGGGTAAACATCCGAATATTTATGGAACAACACATTTCCTTTCATGTAATTTACTTTAGGGACTTTTTATATATTTTTAAATGTTTTTTTTTTTATTTGTTTTTTCTCATGAACATGCATTTGCTCTGTATAACATAGTTAGGTAGCATTAGTCTGGTGAAAAGGAAACCTGGAGTAGTATTTGCATGCGATGAATATAAATGGAAAAATAAATTGCATATCATATCGGTTCCTTTCCTTGAGGCTCCCTATATATTCAACCAATAATTCCTTTTATTTTCATTTATTTTCTGTGATACGATTTTTTATGAGTATTTCCTTGTAAACGTTCAATTTGCAGTGGTATGTATTTTTTAGTATCTAGCATTTTCTTAATAATGTGTTGTTGTTTTGTGAGTATGCCAGTTTTGATATGTTAATATGGAAAAGTTTTACAGTGATATTTTATGATATCATGCATTGCTTCAGTAATCCTTGCTGAAAAATGAATTATGTATATTCATTTATTTATTTATTTATATTGTGTGTGTGTGTGTGTGTGTGTGTGTGTGTGTGTGTGTGTGTGTGTGTGTGTGTGTGTGTGTGTGTGTGTGTGTGTGTGCGTGCATGTGTGTTGTGTGTTTGTATAATTATATGTAGAGATATATATGTATGTATCTCCTCCTCTCTCTCTCTCTCTCTCTCTCTCTATATATATTATATATAATTATATATATATAATATATAATATATAATTTATAATTATTTATTATTTATCTATCTATTATTCATTTATTCATATATATGTATATGTATATATATATAAAGATATAGATTTAAATAGATAGATACACGGTGCGTGAGTGTGTGGTGTGTGTTGTATGTGTGTGTTGTGTGTGTTGTGTGTGTGTTGTGTGTGTGTGTGTGTGTGTGTGTGTGTGTGTGTGTGTTGTGTATGTGTGTGTGTGTGTGTGTGTGTGTGTGGTGTGTGTGTGTGTGTGTGTGTGTGTGTTGTGTGTATTTATATATATCGAACTACCTGTTTATCGACCCTACCTATCTATCTATGTATCTATCTTCTGTCTATCTATCTGTCAACCTATCTTCCTATCCATTTATCTATCAACAGTATCTCTATGCACACAATGAAAGGAATACATTCGGTACCAATTTTTGATAAATTTGATTACAGGCTATCGATTTACTTAATGGAAAAAATCATATGCATGGGTAACTGTGTTGATAGATGGTATTAGGCTGTCAACAGGTGTGATAAACAGAAAAATAACTGTATCCATAATGTTAACGTTGTTATGCTGGTGTCCGTTTCCGTGCCCTCCGCTTTCTCTACTATATATTTTGTGTGTTAAATGTGTATCAAATTTAGTATGGATCGGGAAATTGATGAAAACGTAATTGTAATTGTAATGATGATAATCTCGATTAGTTCCATTTGTTACAATGGTTATTCTGGGTGTGATAAGCTGTCTATTTATTTACCTCCTGTGTGCAAGGATTGGCGGTGCGGGATTTGAACGTGGGTCAACAAGAAGGGTAGACGAGAATGCTACCGCTAGCACAAAAAATAGAAATAGGAGGAATAGAAAGGAGAGAGAGAGAAAGAGAAGGAAGAGAGGAAAAGAGAGGGAGTGAGAGAAAGAGAGTAGGAGTGGAGAAGAGAGGGAAAAGAGTGGGGAGAAGAGAAAGAGAAAGAGTGGGAGGAGAGAAAGAGAGCAAAGAAGTGGGTGAGTGAGAAAACGAGAAGGAAAGAGTGGGAGGGAGAGAAAGAGAGTGGGAGAGAAAGAAGGAAAAGCGATGGGGGGAGAAAGAGAGTGGGAGGGAGAAAAAAGGAAAAGAGGGTGGGAGAGAAAGAGAAACAGAGTGGGAGGAGAGAAGAGAAGGAAAGAAATGGGAGTGAAAAAAAGAGAAAGAAAGAGAGGGAAAAGAGAAAAAGCGAAGGAGGAGAGAAAGAGAAGAAAGAGAGTGGAGGAGAGAAAAGAGAAGGAAAGAGTGAGGAGAGAGAGAAGGAAAGAGAAGAAAAGAGAGTAGAGGAGAAAGAGAAGGAAAGAGAATGGGAGGGAGAAAGAGAAGAAAGAGAATGGGAAGAAAAGGAAAAGAGTGGAGAAAAGAGAAGAAAGAGAAAGAGAAGAGAAGAAGAGAGTGGGAGGGAGAGAAAGAGAAGGAAAGAGAGTGGGAGGAGAGAAAGAGAAGAAAGAGAGTGGAGGGAAGAAGAGAAGGAAAGAGAGTGGGAGGGAGAGAAAGAGAAGGAAAGAGAGTGGGAGAGAGAAGGAGAGGTGGGAGGAGAGAAAGAAAGAGATGAAAGAGAGGTGAGAGAAAGAGAAGGAAAGAGTGGGGAGGAGAGAAAAGAAAGGAAAGAGAGTGGGAGGAGAGAAAGAGAAGAAAGATGGAAAGAAAGAGAGGAAAAAAGGGAAGAGAAGAGAGGGAAGGAAAGAGAGTGAGGGTGATTTCAATGAAAAATATAATTGACGATAAAAATGGGTCTTATGCAGATTTCCCCAAAAAGATTAGCGGATACTGGAATGACATTAACGTAGAAAAATAAGCTGCCGGGAATTCCCAGAAGATTATGAAAAAAGAAATGGAAAGACGAATATGTAAAAAAAACAAATGAAAGACGAATGATAAAAAACATGTAAAGAAGAAGAAGAAGAAGAAGAAGAGAGAGAGAAGAGAGAGAGAGAGAGAGGAAGAGAGAGAGAGAGAGAGACGAGAGAGAGAGAGAGAATGAGAGAGAGTAAGAGAGAAAGAGAGAGAGATAGGCAGTTGCGAGCTCATGATCTGGAGTAGATCATAAGATAGGTAAAAAATAGACCTAATCTAAAAAAAAAAAAAAAAAAAAATAATAATAATAAAATAAAAAAAAGACCTACAGCAACTTATCTAATTTTCATCTACTAAAACGTAAGGCGGACTGACATTTCCACGCCGGAGAAGAAGGAAATGAACGGTTAATGAGAGGGCAGACCTTCTTATGAAACTGGCATCGTCATTTCCCTATGGACTGTCGAGATTAATTTTTGATTCTTTTTTCTCTCTCTTTTTTTTGTTTTTTTTGTCTCTCTTGTTTGTTGTCTTCTTTCCTTATCTTTTCTCTGCTTCTTCTCTGTCCCTTTTCCTTTCCACTCCTCCTCCTCTACTTTTCTCTTCCTTAACCCTCCTCTCCTCCTCCTCTCCCCCTCCTCCTCTTACCCTCTACCCTTCTCTCTCTCCCTCACTCCTCTCTCCTCTCTCTCTCTCTCCTCTCTCCTCTCTCTCTCTCTCTCCTCTCCTCTCTCTCTCTCTCTCCGGAGGCTTACGTAAATACGATAAATATATCGGATGTAATATACCAAAGAACATGTAAATATTCATCCCATATCGTATATATCTACCCATTTGACCAAAGTTCTGCATATATATTTATATTATTAGTTGTTTTTTCTTAATTCTACTTTATTATTCTACTGAAAGTATTGTATCATTATGCTGATACATTTTTGATTACATTTGTTTTTATGTATATCTCTGTAAAATTATTCTGTATCTGTTTGAATACCAAGTAGATTGGAAAATTTTAAAAAAGTTTTTACATTTATTATATTATTATTAATACTTTCTCTCTCTCCTCTCTCTCTCCTCTCCTCTCTCTTCTCTCCCCTCTCTCTTTTCTCTCCCCCTCTCTCTCTTCTCACCTCTTTCATCCTACTCTCTCCCTTTCTCTCCTCCCTCTCACCCTCCTCCTCTTTCTCCCTCCCTCCATCCCTCCCCTCCCTCCCTCCCTCCCTCCCTCCCCTCCCTCCCTCTCCCCTCTCTCCCTCTCTCCCTCTCCCTTCCACCCCTCTCTCCTTATTATCTCCATATGTTGTGAATTATTACCATTAGGAGGGGTGTCCACCAGCCTACTTACATCTCATTACTAAGAGAGGTTGTCCTCGTGTGTGAAAGTTGTGTAATAGGGTCGGCGTTTTATCTCCATTTCAATTCTTAAAAGGGAAATCGTTATAATTTCAACGTGTATGTTGTTATTTTTTTTCTTTTTTTACGTGGTTTAAAAAGGAGGAGGAAGAGGTGGAGGAGGGATATAGGGAGTGGGTGGAGAGAAAATGTAATGAGAATGAGGTAGGAGGAAGGAAAAGGAGGAAAATGTTAGCGGAAGAATGGAGAATGAAACATAATATATGGAAGGGAATAAGATTGAAGAAATGGGAAAGTAGAAAAAGGGATAGATGATAATTAAAAAATAAAAAAAAGAAGTAGAAAGAACCGAAGAAAGTGAGAAGAACCCAAGAAAGAAGAAAAGGAAGTAAAAGAACCGAAAGAGAAAAGGAAAGTATAAAAGAATAGCAGAAAGAATGAGAAAAAGGAAAAGAACAAGAACTTGAAAAAACAGAAAGAAAAAAAAAAAAAAAAACACGCAAGAGCTCGACCTCGCCATCGCTACTCACATCGACATTGACCCCCGCCACGGGGTTGTCCTCGACGCAGCGATCCTCGGGGCTCTGCATCGACGAAGGCAAGTGGCGGTAGAACTCCCTGTCGTCCTTGTACCACTTGAAGGAGTAGAAGGACGAGCCGCCCTCCACCTCGTAGTCGCAGCGGAGGTGGATCTCGTCCCCCTCGAGCGCCATCGCCGGGACGAGGAGGTTGGTGATCTTGACCCCGAGGGCGTGACCTGCGGGGGAGACGGACGGTGGGTCAGATGGGGTGGCTGGGGGAAGTGGGGAGGGGAGAGGAAAGGGGAAGAGGAAAGGAAGGAGGGGAGGAGAAGGGGAAGAAGAAATAGGGAAGGAGAGGAGAGGAAAGAAGAAGAGAAAGAGGAAAAGGATACGGGGAAGGGAAGGGAGAAAGAATACGGGTAAGAAGGGGAGGAAAAGGAAAGGGAAGAAGAATAGAGAAAAGGACGTAGGAGGATAAAGATAAGAGGGAAAGGGAAAAGGCGATGTGAAATAAAGGTAAAGAATAAGGAGAGAAGGTAATGAAATTAAGGAAATGGAGGATTCGAGACTTTTAGCTGTGGGAACGATGTCAAATTTGGTCTTCTGAATATCTAAGTTGTTCTCGTGGTATCGAGGGTAGCATGAACAAGAAATGATGAAAGCCGGCGAGAATTGGTGATGTAGAATCGAAAGTAAAAATAAACTGGAAGAGAAGCCCCCCGCCCTACTCGCTGTTCACCTTTTCCTTGGATTTAGTTTTTTTTCTTTGTTTTTCTTATTCTATCTTCTTCTATCTCTCTCTCTTTCTGTTCCATCTCTTCTCTCTTCTTCTCTCCTCTCTCTCTCTCTCTCTCTTCTCTTTCTCTCTCTCTCTCTCTCTCTCTCTCTTCCTTCTCTCTTTGTCTCTCTCTCCTCTCTCTCTCTTCTCTCTCTCTCTCTCTCTCTCTTCCCCTCCCCATCCCCATCCCCCTTCCACCTCCCCTCTCCCTCTCCCTTCTCTCTCCCTTTTCATTTCGCCTCCCCACCCCACCCCCACCCCTCCCCTGCTCCCACACATCTGCCCCCGTTCCCTAGAAGAAGTTACGGCCCGTTCCCTTCGAGTAAAACTTTCATCATTACGAACGCCTCCCTCGGACTGCCCTATGAAGCGAGGTCGCCTTCGGGAGGGTTGCGAGGAGGGCGGAGGAGGGGGAGAAGGGAAGGGTGGAGGGGAGGAGGGAGGGGGGAAGGGAGAGGGAGGAAGGAAGGGGATGGGGAAAGAGGAAGGGGAGGAGGGTTAGAGGGGAGGGGGGCAATGGCGGATAGACAGTTCTGGAGGGAAGGGAGGGGGATGAGGCGAAATGAGTAAGTGGGTAGTGGGAGGGAAGAGGGAGGTAGGGATGGAGGGAGAATAGAGGGAGGGGTTTGGGGGATGGTGCTAGGTGGGGTGTGAGGGGGAAGGAAGGGCTAGGGGAAAGGGAAGGGGAGGGATTGGTTGGGGGAAGGAGGGGAGAAGAAGAATGGTTGGGGGAAGGAGGTCTTACGGATAAGGTCTGTAAGGAGGAAGAAAGGGTAAGAAGAAGAGATAAATAGAACAGGGAGGAAGAGGAGTAGAAGCAAAATGAAAAATAAGGGTTGAAGAAGAGGAGAGGAATGGTATAAGAAGGAGGAGGAGGAGAATCAAAATGAAAAATAGGGGTTGAAGAACAACAAATAGAAGAAGTAAAAGAGGACGTGGAAGGGAAGAAGAAATTCGAAAATCTGAAGGAAAAGGAAAACAAGAGTGATATCGAAATTAAAATCCAAATCGAAAAAAAAATAAAAACAACAGAAACAGGAGGAGGAGGAATAAGGGAAGGAGGAGAAGAAGAAAAAAACAACAAACAGGAGGAGGAATAAGGGAAGGAGGAGAAGAAAAAAATAAAAGCAACAGAAACAGGAGGAGAATACGAAGGAGAAGAAGAAGAAAAATAAAAGCAACAGAGGAGGAGGAGGAATAAGAACGGGAAGAAGAAAAAATAAAAGCAACAGAAACAGGAGGAGGAATAAGGGAAGGAGAAGAAGAAAAAATAAAGCAACAGAAACAGGAGGAGGAATAAGGGAAGGAGGAGAAGAAAAAGAAAAAATAAAAGCAGGGAAAATATGTCTCGGTTGCGTTCATTTTTGCCCGTCTCGTAGGCAGGGAACTCGAGAATAATGTAGATTCTTAGAGTCATGGATGTGATCTTGACAAGACCCTGCCGGCCTTATGAATCCGGCATGTTCCTTCCTCTCTCTTCTCTTCTCTCCTCTCTTTCTCTCTCTTTCTCTTTCTTTCTCTCTTTTCTCTCTCTCTCTCTCTCTCTTTCTCTCTCTCTCCTCTCTCTCTCTCTCTCTCTCTCTCTTCTCTCTCTCTCTCTCTCTCTCTCTCTCTCTCTCTCTCTCTCCCTTCACCCTCTCTTCCCCTTGACACTCCACCTACCTCCCATTTTTATTCTTCAATTTTAATCTCTGTCTCTTTTCCCCTCCTCCTACCTGTCTCCCATCTCTCCCTCCCTCCCTCCCCCATCTCCCACCCCTTCCTCTTCCTCCTCCTTTCCCCCTCCACCTCCCCATCTCCCTCCTCCTCTCCCCCACTCCCCATCTCCCTCGTCCCATCTCCCTGCATCCATTTTCTCTTATCTCTCCCGTTTGTTGACGTTGTTCAGCATATCCGAACCCGAACGCTTGATGACTCTATGGCAACGACGGAGATCTCCTGCCTTGATTGCGTCGTGCAAACGGACACGCGGACGAAGCCTTGCGCGACGGTTTCGGACAGATTGCCTGGTCGCCTGTCGTTCGGATGGCTGGGGCGTGTGGTTTGTTTTTTTATTTTTTATTTATTTATTTTTATTTATTTTATTTATTTATTATTTTTGAGGGGGGTGAGGGAGTATTTTTTATCTTATATATTATAGGATTGCTGGTGCGAATGACAAGAAACTGGATTTCGTGATTGTGTTTGCATGGGTATATGAAGGGTAAATGCGATATTTTTTTCTTTTTCTTCTTTCTTTCTCTTTTTCTCTTCTTCCTCCCTCTCTTCCCTTTCCCTCCTCTCCCTTTCCCCTCCTCCCCCCACTCTTTCCTCTCCCTCCCCTCTTCTCCTCCTTCCCCCCCCCCCCTTTTCCTCCTCCCCCTCCCTCCCTCCCCTCCCTCCCTCCCTCTCCATCCTTCACCCCCTTCCCCCTCCACCCACCCACTTTTCTCCTTCCCTCCCTCTCACCCTCTCTTTTTCCCTCCTTTCCCTTCCCTTTCCATATGAATGTAAACACGTTCTTTAAAGGTGCTCCCGAGATTCGATATTTCTGTAAACTATTTAAACTTTTCGTTGCATTTCACTTTCAACTTTTTCCCTCCCTGACTTTCGTTCCATCTTAGTGCTTGCGTTTTCGTTTAGAAGGAAAAGGAAAAGCTGCAAAGGGAGAGTATGAAGAGAGAAAGTGAAAAAAAATCTATGTTAAAATTTCTGTGTTCGTCTGTCCGTTCGGGTCGCTCGTTACGCTTGCATGTTAAAGCCTGAAGTAATATTTGCGTGCGAATTCTTAGGGTGATGAATTAATAACAGGACCATTAAACACACGCACGCACGCTGCGGGCGATCACTCACTTCACTTCTTACTCACTCACTCACTCACTCACTCACTCACTCACTCACGTCACTCACTCACTCACTCACTCACTTACTCATCACTCACTCACTCACTCACTCACTCACTCTCACACGCCTCACTTCACCACTCACACACAACACACACACACACACACACACACACACACATATATATATATTATATATATATGTGTGTGTGTGTGTGTGTGGTGTGTTTGTGTGTGCAGAGAGAGAGAGAGAGAGAGAGAGAGAGAGAGAGAGAGAGAGAGAGAGAGAGAGAGAGAGAGAGAGAGAAGAGAGAGAGAGAGTTGAAAGAGAGTAAGGAGTAAGTTGGCTAAGGGATCTATTTATCTCTCCCGACTTCCCTCCCCTCCCTTCTCTCCAATCCCTGCCTGCCTCCCTCTTGTCTCCCTGTCCCCTCCCTCTCCTGCTCGTCCCTTTGTCCTTTCCCTCCCCACCTCTCCTCTCCTCCCCACCCCCATCCTCTTCCCTCTCCCCCATCCCCTGCCCTCCTTACCCTCTCCCCACATCTCTTCTCTCGCTCACCAATCCTTCCCTTCCCCACCGCCCCGCATCCCTCTTGACTCCCTACCTCTCTCCACTCCTTCCCTCCTTCCCTCCGCCACTGCGCCCCTCTCGTCCCCCCATCCCTCCTTCCCTCCCCCACTCCCCCCATCCTCCTGTCCCTCCCCACTCCCCCACCCCCTTCCCTCCCCACCTTCCCCAGCACTTTCCCGGACTCAGCGAGAAGACAACAAAGTAAACCCGACTGTAATTCGGACCGGACTAAGAGGATGGTTATCCGCATTAATTTATTAACCGGCATGAACTCGGAACGGAATCTTCCCGGACATACCGCTTCTCTCCCGCGGTCTTCTTGGGGGTAGTGGGGGTGGGGGAGTGAGGAGTTTATTTTTTCTCTCTCTCATCTCTCTCTCTTACTCCTCTCTCTCTCTCTCAGTCGTGGTGTATCTCTCGTAGGGCTAGGACGTGTTTACAGTAACTGTCCATAGACCGTGAGGTCCCCGAATCCTGTGTTTACCCGCCCCTATCTGACCTTGGACAGGGAGCGGGTCACCTCCTACCAAGGTCATCAGCATGGCTAGTGTTGCTAGTGGAAGTGGAACCCATAAGAAGGGTAAGAAGTGATGGAAGCGTAGACATGAGTGACGAGAAGGATGCGAGCGGGAGAAGAGGAAAAGAACGACGGAAAACGAAACAGCAGCCCAGAATGTTGCCGGTGTGAACGGCAGGAAAAGACTGCTATTTCCACAAGACTGTGCCTTGAGTTTCTTAGAAAAATTAAGGTGGGCCATGCAACTGGGCCGGAGACCACGCTGATTTCGAGCCAGTGATGAAGGAAGGACGAGGAAGGCCGTATCTCACGGTGCGGGCAGGCCAGGCGGGTGCAGACGCTGACGACTCAGGGATACAAGGGGACAGTGATGAACTGTCCCAAAGGCTGGGGAAAAGTTCACCAAGGTGATAATTTTCGATATCCCACGATATTAGACCCGGACTTCTGCTGGCCGACGATAGATTTGTGTGGGTAAGGCGGACACGTCTAGGGGCGAGGAGCGGAGTCAGCTCGTTGCCCTTGTGAAGGGGAAGTGCCAGAGA